TTGTTGGTGAAAGGAAATTTTTGGGGAAAATGCTACTGTCCTGTTAAAACACTGATCTTGTCGGTGTTTTGACCGTTGGATCATCTATCTTATTTAGCTACATGTGAATTCAACGGTTAAAACACCTAACGGGATGGTACCGTTACGAGACCGTAGTATTATTCAGGCACACTTTTGCTGGAACATTCACTCTATGTAGAATCATGATTAACCCAATGGAACCCTGAGCAGTGTTGTATTATTGTTGTGTGAAATTCATAAACATAAAAGGCATTTATTTATTTTTTTTTTCTCTACAGTTCAAATTTAACTGTGAACAACAGAGGAAAGCGAATCAGCTGGCAAATTGTACTAATTCAATTTATCCAAAAGAGAAAGATATCATTACCAGCCCAACTTTAAATATCTGTAGAGCAAATCAGAAATTAAAATAAATAGTGGAAACAGCCTCCTTGTATAATTACAAGGGTAAGGTCTGCGTACAACTGACCCCCAGACCCCAACCTGTTGGGAATATACTGGGTATGTTGATGTTGATGATGTTGTAGTAAAAAAAGAAAAGAAATGGAAAAGAAATGTGACTGAGTGTAGCTCAAAATCCAAACAATTTCATCTTCCTCCTTTTTCCCCTTTATTACCCATCAAAAAATGTCTAAACCATCAAAATTGGGCAAAAATTGTGATCTCAAAAACATCTTGCTCACAGTCAATTTCACTCACACAACACGCACGCAAACACACACCAGGTGAATTAATCAATTCAAACATATTTAGAAAAAAATAAATCCAGAAAACCGATATGGCTGTGAAGTCAGAATCCTTACCGCGCGTGGTGGAAGCCGTGCCTCGGAGTCGACGAAATGTAGAACACAGCTGCGGATGAGAGTTTATGGAGATTGTGAAAAAATCCCAATTTTGTTAACCGATTTATTCACATGGGCAAATAAAATAATTTACCCCATTAACACTTTTTTTTTTTAACATCAAGTTAATTATCCTAGTCTTATCCTATGTAACAAACATAGGATAATATTAGTCCTGACTGCTATACTATTGCACTATTTCAGTCCATAATAATGCTCCCCTATCCATGATGGGATTTCAGTCCAATCTCATCCCAACAAACAAACACGGAGCTACTACTCCCAAATTCTTCATCTCACTCTTGTCCAAGTCCTATCTTATTTTCTTTGCTTGGAAAAAAAAAATTGGTGTAGTAAAATATATTTTTAAAATATGAAATAAGATATCCTTCTCTCTATATGTAAGGGATAATATGTCGATGCGTCAAATTATGGTGCTTTATTATTCAATTTATCGAATTATGGTGCTCCGTAATTTTATATGTCAATTTTTATGCTTGGGAATAATCTGTATGAACATTTATCCATAACTATTAAGACTTTTTACGTTTGTATTTGTTATTAATTCGTTTATGATAATTAATAATTAATAATCTCTTAATGAGCTACGATTTGATATTCATATTACGATTTGATATTCATATTGCATATATAAATATATAAAAAAAATGTTTATCTTAGATATAATCTATTATTATTAATTAATAAAAGTCATTACATATGAACAGAATATTATTACAATATAGGATGGGTAAAATGGTACATGTGAAGAATGTTATTTTAAACATAAATAGTAATCACTACAAAAAAATTGTTATTTTTCAACGAAAAATTCTATGGTAATATATTTCAATGGAAATTCCAACGGATATTCCAATGGTATAACTTCCGTTGGAATGGTTCCAACAGAAATTCCAGCGGAAGTATTCCGTTGGAATGTGTTCTTCATTGAAATTTTAGATGAAATTTGATGATTCCAACGGCTTTTTACCGTTGGAATATGCAATTTCAATTGGAATTTTATTTTCAACCCTATTGGAAAATCCACCTTTGGAATCGTCAAAATCCAACGAAAAATCCAATGGAAAACTTATTCCAATGGAATATTTTCGTTGGAATTTCCGTTGGAATCCATTGCAAAAATTCCAACGGAAATTATAGTACTGAAATATCCGTTGGAATTGTCGTTGGAATAATTCTATTAGAATGAATTGCCGTTGAAATTTCATTATTTTCTTGTAGTGAATGAAATTTGTGTATGTATTTGATATTACATAAAAAAAAGGGCAAATTCTATAAAAGTACCTAGACCCCTTTTCAACTTCCAGTTCAGTCCCTT